TGGTCTAATCATGCGTCGTTCAATGATTTGAATATGCGGGCTAGTGAGCGTCTTCGCCACTCATTGATTATAAAAGCTCTCAATGATGGATCAGATCGTGTAGCACAAGAAGCTATCAGGCCGTGTCAATGGCCCTTACGAGATTGGCCATCCTGACGGCGGCCACCGCGGCGCCGTAGCCGTTATTGCCCTGCTTGCCGCCCGCACGGTTTATTGCCTGCTCCAGCGTATCGGTAGTCAGAACTCCGAAGATGACCGGAACGCCGGAAGAGACAGATGCATTGGCGATGCCTTTGGTGGCCTCGCCGGCACCAAGGTTGTAGTGGTCTGTTTCGCCTCTGATCACCGCGCCCAGACAGATGACCGCGTCATGCTGCCCTGACTCTGCCAATTTCTTTGAGATAAGCGGGATCTCGAACGAGCCTGGAACGGAAGCGATAGTAACATCGTCGTCACTGACCCCGTGAGCCTCGAGTCCCGCCAAGGCGCCCTCCAGAAGCCGGGAAGTAATGAAGTCGTTAAATTCGGCCACGACTATGCCAACCCTAAGGCCTTCGCCATTCAGCGATCCGGAGACTCTGCGGCTCACTGGGCAGCCCCTGCGTTGAACTCTTCTTCCCATAGGTCCACATGCTAAGCCAGTTTCTCCCGTTTAGCCTTCAGGTAACGAACGATTCTCCTCGGTTACCTCACGAAAATACCCACCTGCTCCACTATCTCAAGCCCGAAACTCTCAAGGCCGACCCTCTTTTGCGGATTGTTTGTGAGAAGGCGCATCTTGTTAACGCCGAGGTCGAGTAGAATCTGCGCTCCCACCCCGTACTGGCGAGGGTCCGGTGCGAAACCGAGCGCTATGTTGGCCTCGACGGTGTCCATCCCGGCGTCCTGAAGCTCGTATGCCTTGAGCTTGTTGTGGATGCCTATTCCCCTTCCTTCCTGTCTCATATAGAGGAAAATGCCGGCCCCATCACGCTCGATGGCCTGGAGAGCGAGTTCCATCTGACCGCCACAGTCGCAGCGAACGCTCCCAAACACGTCGCCCGTTAGGCATTCGGAGTGAACACGCACAAGCACGGGCTTGTTCGCCGTTATCTCTCCCTTGACCAGCGCTATGTGCTCGTTCGGGTCCACCAGGCTCCTGTACGAGACTGCCAGAAACTCGCCGTGTTCGGTGGGAACCCTGGCCTGAGCCACGCGCTCGATCAGCTTCTCGTGCTCTCTCCTGAAGGTGATGATGTCCGCAACAGTGACGATCTTGATGTCGTGCTCTTGGGAGAACTTTTCAAGCGTGGGCAAGCGGGCCATGTTGCCGTCGTCAGCCATGATCTCGCAGATGACGCTGGCCGGGTACAGACCGGCCAATCGCGCGAGATCTACGGAAGCCTCAGTCTGCCCTGCTCGTTTGAGAACGCCACCCTCCATGTACCTGAGGGGAAAGATGTGACCCGGGCGTCCTAGATCCTCGGGCACGGTGTTCGGGTCGATGAGGGATTTGATTGTCGCAGCTCTATCAAAGGCTGAGATTCCGGTTGTCGCACCGTTTAGAACGTCAACCGATACGGTAAAAGCAGTGCCAAGTCGAGCGGTGTTCTCCTGCGTCATTAGCGGCAGTCTGAGGTCTTCGAGTCGATGCCCAAGCATCGGCATACAGATCAAGCCCCGGGCATGCGTCGCCATGAAGTTAACGTGCTGGGGAGTTACGGACTCCGCGGCCATTGCGAGGTCGCCTTCGTTTTCACGATCCTCGTCATCGCAGATGATTACCATCTTGCCGGCTCTGATGTCGGCTATTGCTTCCTCTACCCTAGCGAGGGGCATGTCGATACCTCCAGACGCTTGTCAGAGCTCGTCGGCAGTGTCCACGGGTAGCCGCGGTCCGGTTGCCAGACGTTCAACGTACTTGGCGATTATGTCAACCTCCAAGTTCACCAAATCGCCGGGTTTGCGGAGTGCAAAGACTGTATTCTCCCACGTGTACGGAACGATCGTCACCGAGAAGGTGCGATAGTCACAGTTTACTACCGTCAGACTCGTACCGTCCACAGCCACAAAGCCCTTCTCGACCACGTAGCGCATGATGCTGTCCTCTGCCTCGAACTTGAAGTTCCGGGCCTGCCCCTCCGGCACCACAGACAGCACTCTGCCTGTTCCATCCACATGTCCCTGAACGATATGCCCCCCGAATCGTCCATCCGAGCTCATTGGGCGTTCCAAATTAACCGGATCACCGGATTTCAGTTCTCCAAGGTTGGTGCGGCGCAGCGTTTCGGGCACCGTGTCGACGCTGAAGGCAGCCCCACTGATGTCGGTAACGGTAAGGCACGCACCGTTCACGCAGATGCTGTCTGACACCACCAAGTCGTCCATTACAACGGAGGCCCCGATGGAAAGTCCTGTGGTCGAGGTACCGGCCACGGTCCCAATTTCCTCAACAATTCCGGTAAACATCAATCTCTCCAGAAGTCATTCGGACTGCCGAGACAATGTTAAACGAGTCCAAGCACAATTGGAATCTACGCTAGCGCGCATATTGGGGTTGCAGTATGATTCTCGGCGCATAGACAAACGCAATACCCCATGGGAGATGCGCCTAATGAAGATTGTGGACTTAAAGCTTTGGGAGCTACGAGGAGTGATGGAGCACCCGGACCCGTTTTGGGAGGAGCGCCTAATCAGACCGGTAGATGTCTATCATGAGTTTAGGGAGCAAGGACCGGACTACACGACCAGCTTTGGAAACGGTCACTACAGCGTCCGCTCCATATTTCTGGAGATCCACACGGATGACGGGGTCGTTGGGCTCTCGGGACCATGCGGTCTGACGGAGGCCTTCATCATCGACACGTCATTGAAGCCGCTGTTGATTGGTCGCGATCCTTTGGCGATCGAGTTCCTCTGGGACCTCATGTACAGGTCCATGATTCACGGACGCAAGGGCGAAGCCATGATGGCGATCAGCGTTGTGGACTGCGGGCTGTGGGACTTGAAGGGAAAGGCGTTCAATCAACCTGTTTACAGGCTGTTAGGGGGGCCTACGCGAACCAGGTTCCCAGCGTATGCAAGCGCACTAGGCTTCTCGATTGAGCCAGAGGCGGCCGCCCAGCGCGCAGCTGCTTTTGCTGCAGAGGGGTTCGTTGCAACAAAGTGGTTCTTCAGGGACGGCCCCGCTGACGGGCACGACGGGGTCCGTCGAAATCTCCGTCTTGCCCGGACGCTCAGGGAAGCGGTTGGGGACGACGTGGACATCATGATGGACGCATGGAGCTCCTGGGACGTGCCTTACGCAGTTAGAATGGCGAAAGAGCTTGCCGCGTACAACATAAGATGGTTGGAAGAGCCGGTGATGGCAGACAAACTCGATAGCTATATCCAGATTCAGAGGAATTCGCCAATAGACATTTCCGGCGGTGAGCATGAATACACGCGATGGGGCTTCAGGTCGATCGTAGAAAACCGGGCGATGGACGTGCTGCAACCCGACATCTACTGGTGTGGAGGTCTAAGCGAGGCGGTGAAGATATGTGCACTGGCATCCGCATTCGATTTGCCGGTGGTGCCGCACGGTCATAGTTCCCACGCCACTGCACACCTGTCGCTTCGCAACCGCCGACAACGACGCCAATCCAGGAGTTCCTCGTCAAGTGGAACGCCATCCATCAATTCTTCCTGAAAAATCCTCTCAACCCGATCGACGGCATGATTACCGTTCCCGATGCTCCGGGCTTGGGACTCGAGCTAGACGATCTCAAGGTCGCCGCCGAACGGGAGATAACCTTCCGTGACTTCTAGTACGGTGAGACCAAGCTAGATGCGAATCACTGACGTAACTACAACGGTTCTCAGTTACCCGCACGCTGCTCCGATCCAGGATGCCACCATTCCAACTCCACCCTCCGGTTCGGGCGGTCGATCTCAACTCTTTGTACACATCCACACGGACGACGGCGTCGAAGGCTTTGGACTGGGCCAGTCGAGTCCAGGCGTCCGCCAGGTCATTGAACACGGAATGAAAGACCTGCTTGTCGGGCAGGACCCGTTCAACATCGAAAAGCTGTGGAACGACATGTTCTGGCGCGTGCGCGGTTACGGACGTAAAGGAATCGCTTTCTGTGCGTTGTCGGCTGTGGACATTGGTCTGTGGGACCTCAAAGCGAAGGCGTTGGGACTACCCCTTTACAAGCTCCTTGGCCCATTTCAGGAGTCAGTGCCGATCTACGGTTCCCGGGGGCTGGACCAACTTCACAGTCGATGAACTGATCGGCGAGACCACAGAATGGGTCGAACAGGGCATAAAGCGTGTGAAGATCAAGGTTGGCAAGGACTTTGGCACATCGGAACGCGAGGACATAGAACGTGTTGCGGCTGTCCGCAGAGCGCTGGGCAACGACGTCGCCATCTACATCGACGCCAACAACGGCTACCACCCCAAGCAGGCCATCTACATGGCCAGGGAATTCGAGCAGTACCAAATAGGCTGGTTTGAGGAGCCTGTGCTCGCGGACGACATCGACGGACTCGCCAGAATCGCTGCCTCCACAACAATCCGGTCGCAACAGGAGAACATGAGTACACGAAGTACGGGTTCAAGGAACTGATCTCACGGGGAGGAGCTGACATCGTCCAGCCTGACGTCGGCCGCGTCGGTGGAATCACCGAGTGGATGAAAGTAGCGCACATGGCGCACGGTTTCAACCTGCCAGTGGCACCACATGGAGTGCAGCTGGTCCATCTACACCTCTGCTGCGCGACGCCCAATCTGAAGGTTGTCGAGTACCTGAAGGTCGCACACGAGGCCGACAAGATCTGGTATACCGAGTTCCCCGAGCATCAGAAGGGTATGTGGTCCCCATACCCGGACAAGCTCGGGCTAGGGTTGGAACTGAATCCGAGTCGGTTGAGAAGTATTCGGTTTGAGGCCCAGCCGGAATTCCCCAGGTCGGTTGAACCTGCACCTGTCGGTTCTGGCTATGACAGTTTTTCGGTCATTGAGATCACACCTAGCCGCAGCCTGATCCAGTAGTTCTGCAATTGACGAATCAGTTATGGCGCCGTCTGGCGTCATGAAGTTGGCGACTGTGGGCAGCAGCACGCGGGGCTGGTGGACCACGATGGCGCTTTCGGATTCCAGACTGTAGGTTGCGTGCATGTGCATCCGGGCGCATGCCGAGCGGCCTGGGCCGGTTCCGATGACGAAGAATACTTTCCCATCTAGAACGTTGTCGCCCCTGGAAGCCCACTCGAAGGCGTTCTTGAGCGCGCTGGTCATCGAGGAGTTGTACTCTGGACAAGCGACGACCACCGCGTCTGCATCTCGAATGGCTTGTCTCATCCTCTCGGCTTCAGGCAGGATGCCCTCTGCCGACTCGGTGTCCGGGTGGTACATCGGCACTCTATTGAGGTCGAAGATTTCTGTGATGGCTCCTTGCCTTTCGAAGGCTTCCAATCCCCTGTTGAGCAGCTTGAGATTCCAGGACTCTCTTCTCAAACTTCCGCAGATTCCAAGTATCTTCATAAACCGGATTGCCTCTCTTTGGCTACTGGTGATATTTCCAGTATAGGGGACGAGAGAGACACACGTAGTCGAGAATTCAGGAACGAAGCAATGACGGTAGCCGCTTGAGATGCTCGACATCGCTCGCGGGAACGAAGTGATCAACATAGGGATCGCTGCCTGTAGACCACGAGCCAGCGGTTGAAAGTCTTCGGTTCCAGCGAGGGGATTCAGCCAGACCAGACTACGAACTCTCAGCCGCATTCTCGACATCTGGTGGGCCAGTTCTCTCGGCTCCCCCGTCTCCCAGCCGTCGCTCAAGAGAAAGACTGTAGTGAAGCGATCTTCGAGAAACTCGTAGGCCGTGTTTATTCGGCGCAGACTCTCACCGATGCGCGTGCCCCCAGACCAGTGGTTGACTGCGAGACCAACGCGATAGAGCGCTTCCGAGAAGCTGGGAACCGACAACTCACGAGTTACTCTGGTGACTGTCGTACTGAACACGAACGTCTCCACACGACGTGTGTGCTGTCCTACCGCGTAGGCAAGTTGGAGGAGAAGTCGCGCATACCTATCCATTGAGCCGCTCACGTCAAGTATCAACATGAGGCGCGGCGTCCTGGGCACTCGCCGAAGTCTGGGAAGTCGGATCAGATCGCCGCCTGTGCTGAGGCTGAGCCTCATGGCGCTTCGCAAGTCCGGCACGCCCTTGCGTCGGTCACGCCTGCGTCTGCGCCCCGGCCTGGATGCAAGCGCCCTCACCATTCGGGCCGCGATCCGCGAAAGCTCCGACAGGTCTTCACCAGCGAGCGCAGACAGATCGCGCTGAGCCGTCACGTGCTGACCGCTCGCCCCAGTACGGAGTAGCTGAATTACCGTATCTTTGGAGTCTGGATCATCTTCTGGCACGCCAAGACCTCGCGGCACCCGACCGACGGTTCGCGTCTGGCCGAAGTTTGCGGTCGGGTCCGCCTGCGGCTCAGGTCGCCTGGTGAGGGGCTCAAAGTTCCAGAACTGCCCAAACAGGCGGTCGAATACTGACAACTGCTCCTGCCGAGACACAAGCAAAGACCTCAGCGACCAGTAGATGCGGCCCTCAGTCATGATGTCCACGTGTCCAACGGCGCGGATCGCGTCGGCGGTCTCCTGTGGCCCAACAAGCATGCCATGCTCTCTTAGCACACGACAGAAGCGCGTCAGATGGGCTATAAAGTCGTAGTCTGCTATGGTGCCGTTCTGGCTCACAATAGCGATCCTGACTGATCTCCCGTTCCCTGCTCCGCCCAAACTCCTTGCTCGACGGCCGTGAGGAAATCGAACACAAGACGATTGAAACAGGTCCGGCTCCTCGAGAGTTGATGGCGTGGCCGGACTGGGGGATCACCGCAAGACCTGATCTTGGGATGCAGCGCTTCATGAACACGCTGGTCTCAATACATGGGTCGTCCTCATCGCCCGTCATGATCAGCGTCGGGACGTCGAGTGCTTTCATCCGATCTTCAAGCGCGAAAATAGTCGGCCTGCGACCCTGAACTCCCGCGAACGTCAACGCCGATCCGAGTCCGGAGTGCTCCATCAAGCCTTGTCTGAATTCCTCGTAGCCCAACGGATCCTTGCGAAGGAGTTGGACTCGTGTGGGACTGTTCGAGTAGTCGTCCATGGACTCCATCCCGTATTCGCGCATCCCATCCGCCCTCTGGGTGACGTTCACGCGAAAGGCTTCCGGGTCGGTGGAACCTGCGCGTCCCGGCCACCACTAGCGAGCGCGCCATCTCTGGATATGTCAGACCGAAGTTGAGCGCGACGTTTCCTCCCATCGAAGGCCCCCTATGTGGGCGATTCGATTCCAAGGTGGTTGAGCAGCCCCTTGAGGTCAATCAACGGAATGCTCCTGCGTATAGTCGTCTATGAGTCTGGTACGTCCGACGGCGGATACCCCCGAGCGTTATACGTTATCACCGTGTACGCCTGCTGAAGATTGGACCTGCTGCTTCCACGATCTGTAGTCACTGCGAACTCGTGGACTCATACCAGCGGGAAGCCTGAGCCGTGCTGTTCGTAGTAAAGATCGATGCCGTTTACCGGTGCTATGGGCATTGTGTAGCCTCCCTGTCGTTGTTTGATAACGCCTGGCGCACGCCACAGTCAATCACAACCCCGAATGACGCCGCAACCGACTTGCCCCGGTACAGATTGCTCTGCTGTCGACTCAGCGCATTAGCCTGTTACGGTATAATTGCGACTAGCCGCATCAAAGACAGCACCGGGGAGCGTGTATTGGCCAGAGTCCGCATAATGTACTGGAAGGAGATACCTGTCCAGGTGCAGGGGCAAGACGACTCAAGAACCGTGTCGCGGCCGCTTGACCCAAGGTTCCAAAAGGGAGTGGACGCCGTCGCCATGTTCGACGGTTCATCAGGTACCGACGACTACCTGCTGTCTTGGGAGTGGGGCGAGTTCCGCGAGGTGGAAGGGTCTGCGGAGTCTGCGGCTAACATGGCAGCTGAGTGGCTTAACTGTAGATTCCCAGATGACTTCGTCGCCCGGATTCGGGACGTTCAACGAGAGGGGCAGCGAGACCCAACACCGGGTGCAATTGACCATTGGGCAAACAGTGACACCGCGTAGTGTAAGGCAGGTTAAGGATGAATACTGACCCGCATGAAAAACAGGGCATTCTGGAGCGTCTAGCGAGTGGCGAGGTCCTGATCTCGGACGGGGCTACCGGAACCTACCTACAACAGAGAGGTCTGGAAGCCGGCGGCTGCCCTGAGGAGTTCAATGCCAGCCATGCCGACGTAGTGCGAGGTATGGCAAGAGACTACTTCGAGGCAGGTTCGGACATAGTCCTGACCAACTCATTTGGCGGGTCGCAATTCATGCAGAAGAAGTACGGCTTCGAGGGACGAGTCGAAGAATTCAATAGGCTCGCCTCAGAGCACGCCGCGAGTCAAAAAGCCAACGAGTGGACACTTCGTCGCAGCCTCGGTGGGCCCGACAGGGGAGATGATGGAACCGCTGCCAGATGGCGTCAGCGCGTCAGAGATGTACGACGCGCTTGCCGAGCAGATCACCGCACTTGCGGGTGGCGGCGCCGACGCTATACTGATCGAGACCCAGATGGCCCTGGAAGAAGCGATCACCGGGATCCGAGCTGCCAGGGAAAACACCGACCTGCCCGTGTTTGCAACGATGGTCTTTGACCTCGGGCCGAGAGGGTTCTTCACAATGATGGGCGTCACGCCAGAGAAGGCCGTTCACGACCTACGTGAGGCAGGTGCGGATGTCGTGGGAGCGAATTGCGGGAACGGCATAGACAGGATGGTCGATCTTGCCGAGCAGATGCGCGCAGTTGACGACGGTCTGATGCTGATTCACTCTAACGCCGGGATCCCCGACATGAAGGGCGGCCAGATCATTTACAACGAAGGGCCGGAGTACTATGGCCGAGAGTTCAAGCGCCTGGCCGACCTCGGTGTGAACGTCCTGGGCGGCTGCTGCGGTACAGGCCCGGATCACATAAGAGCACTGAAGGCCTCGGTGAAGTAACCGCAAATCAGAGAGCAGCTATTCGATTTCTGTAGTGAAATGACGCGGACTAACCTTCCAAGGAAGACACAATGACACAGTCCACCACTGCCAAACGCGGTCGCGTATCCGACAAACTTAGAGAGATCGGCTCGTGTCTAGAGCTCGTTCCAATGGACCCACATTTCAGTAGCGTTTCCGTAGGACTCTACTATAGGGACGGAATCTGCACCGTGTGGAGTTTCAGCCAAGTCGAAGGAATCGAGGGCCGCCTCAGAGACATTCGCGACCAGATGGTCCGACTCGGCGGAGTTCAGCCGGTGGAGGGATCGGACAACCAGTTCATCTTTCCATGCGGTGTGATACACATGAGGCCGGTCAAATTCCTGCTCACACAGGCCGTTACTAAGCCGCCGGACTTCGCCCTCCCCCAAGGGTCCATGACGATCAAGGACTCCAAGTCCGCCTTGATGCTGTCCGTTGCCGGTGGGCGCACGGATGACGGGTTCGCCTACCAGGTCTCTGGAGAAGGTGAAGTGAGGAACCCCGCACTGAGGTTGCGAATGGTGGTCGCTGGCTTCGTGAGATACGGCGAGATGGAGAAGGTGGGCGATACCGAGGTGGCTTTCTCCTGCTGCTGGCAGCACGATGAACTGGTGCGGCTCCTTCTGCCATACTCCCGCAACATCAGTGCCGTGGAGTCGATGCTGGAGGCCGAGGCCACCAGAGGCCAAATGACGACAAGTACTCTGGGTTTCACGCCGCTATAGATAGTCGCTCGCTCAAGTCAACGCCGGAAGTGCCTTAAACCACCTTGTCACTCCACCCAAACAGGAGACCACGATGCCATTCACAGAGACTATGACTCCAAGAGAGCGCACGCTAGCGGCGCTGAATCGGCAGCCGGTGGACAGGCCGCCGGTGGCCAATCCCACAAACGTGGCGACGGTCGACCTGATGGATCCTCGTGGATGCGCCATTCCCGGATGCTTGCAGGGACCCCGAGTTGGCGGCCCGGCTGGCCGCGACCGGATACACCGAACTCGGGTTTGACGCCGTCGCGCCCTACTTCACGATCATCCAGGAGTCTTCGGCGCTTGGCTGCGACATGCAGTGGGAGGAGAAAGACAACTGGCCGACAGTCGTGCGTATGTACCGTCCGATCTGGAAGGACTCCCGTGATATCCACATTCCGTCCGGTTTCCTCGAGCACCCGGACAACATCGCAATCACCAAGTCGATCGAGATACTCAAGCAGGAGATTGGCAACGAAGTTGCGATCATCGGCAAGACTATGGGTCCGTGGACGCTGGCCTATCACGTCTTTGGAGTGGAAAACTTCCTGCTAATGACCATCGACGACCCCGACGAGACAATGAGGTGTCTACACAAGCTGAAGGAGCTGTCTGTCCTGTTCGGTGAGGCGCAGATCGCGGCGGGAGCAGATGCACTCACCTTCCCGACCACGCCACCGGGGACTTGGTTAGCGGAGAATACTATCGCCGCTTCCTGCAGGATATCCACATTGAGATGGCAGAACGACTTAACGTGCCGTTGATCCTGCACATCTGCGGGAACACGTTGGACAGGATGCCGTACATCGCAGATACGGGGATGGCTTACTTCCACTTCGATTCCAAGAACGACCCGCAGGCTGCAATGGATACGGTCGAGGGCAAGATCGGACTGGTCGGCAACATCAACAATCCGACTACGCTGTACGCTCGCGGACCGGCAGAGGTGCGAGAAGAAGTGTTCGCGTGCCTGGATGCTGGCGTGCAGATGATTGCGCCGGAGTGCGCCGTGCCACTGGCGACCAAATTGGAGAACCTGATAGCGATCCCGGATGCTGTTCGGGAGTGGTGCGAGACCAATACGTGAATATACGATCATAGAAGGCCTGACATAGAGCTTGGTAAAATTCTTGCGGCAATCGAAGATGACTTCAGATGACTTATGAGAGAGTGGAAATATGCCGGTAGTCAATGAGGGACTCGAACAAGAGCTTGGCTACGTGACCAGACAGTTCGAGCAGGAGCACATTCGCGGACAGTGGGACGAAGCCGACCCTCTGATGCAGCAGATCAGCTATGACCTGATCGTGGGGAATCATCTCGAAGTGGACCGACTGACAATTCAGGCGCTCGAGGAAGGCTTCGCAGCAAACACGATACTAGATGACGGTCTGATCGCCGGAATGGCTATCGTAGGAATAAAGTTCAGAGACAACGTCATATTTGTGCCTGAGGTGCTCGTCGCTGCGCGCGCAATGAAAGCCGGCATGGCCCACGTCGAGCCCATTCTCTCAGAGTCTGGCATACAGCCTGTGGGCACAGTAGTCATGGGTACCGTGAAGGGAGACCTGCACGACATAGGCAAGAACCTTTGCATCATGATGCTCAGGGGGGCGGGGTTCATCGTTCACGACCTCGGTGTGGATACGGCGCCGGACGAGTTCATAGACGCGGTCGTGGAACACGAGGCCGAGGTACTGGGCATGTCGGCTCTCCTAACTACGACCATGCCTAACATGGGCCGAACGATCGATGCGTTCGAGGAGAACGGTCTACGCGACATCGTAAAAATCATGGTCGGAGGCGCTCCGCTCACACAGGAGTTCGCTGATGACTTCGGAGCCGATGGCTACGGCAAGGACGCCATGGATTGCGTTGAGCTAGCCAAACGCCTAGTGGGACTACAGGAAGCCGAAGAGCCCGTGCCGGTGGTGTCTTGAGCGGGCATTCCACGTCGTTCGACCCTGAACGGTATCGCAAGAGCATGTCGCGGCTCGATGAGATATTTCGCGGCATCAACGAGACAGCGAATGAAGTATCGATGTACCGGTGTCCCTACAAGAATGCTCAGAGTCGATGCACTGCTGCGTTCGGGTGTCGAAACCAGGATCGGAACGTTCCGAGCGATGAGTTGTTCGTATGCACCGGGGACGACAAGCTGGACTACCGGTCGGCCTGGGAGTTTTGAATTCAACTCCTTCAACCTTCCCTTAATGCACTGTTGACTGCCCATTAACATGCAACTGGTATTGTGATCTCAGACACAATACCATGCTAACGAATCGAGACACCTCAAGTTGGATGGGCAGGCTGGCATCCCACTATAGGCGGATGCGGACTGAATATCCCGACGATCAGTTGATAGTTCTATTCGACGTTGACGGAACGATCGTCGATCTTCGACACATGGTCCTTCGACTACTGCGCGAGCATGACCAGAAGTACGGCACGAGCTACTTTCGCGCCCTTAGCCTCGAAGAAGGCTTCAGGCAATTGCGCCGCCTGTTCCCCGACGCGATTATTCAATGCCCGGTGGACTTCATGGCGCCACTGATCCTGGCGATGCCGGACGAAGCCCAGAAAATTCTGTCCAGTGTCAAGGATTGGGGTGTTAACCGAGTCTCGATAAACTGGAAGAACCTGCTTAGACGACAGGTACCGGACGCACTCGAGAGTTGAGGCTACGAGATTAACATCTACAACGTGCCGGACCTCGAATCCTTCCTGAAGGCCGCTCTGTTGCTCCCTATTTCTTTGACAGCTGACTTTAGCTTTGAGTTGACAACTGTCTATTCCACAGTTCCACAGGTTGGTGTACGGGAGCCCGGCTGGCTGGCGGGGATCTAAGGGTTCTTATGCCTTCGATTCCTCGGAAGCGACCAGCGTCGGTCGGCAGCGGGATTCCAGCCGGGGGCGATCCCCGTCACGCCTTCATTGGTGAAGCAGTTGGCACGTACATCCTCGTTCTCTTTGGCACTGGCTCAGTGGCGGCGGCAGTTGCCACGGGGGCACAGATGGGCCTATGGCAGGTTGCCGTCGTATGGGCTTTCGGGGTGGCCTTGGCGATATACGCGACCGCCAACGTGTCTGGCGCTCACCTGAATCCAGCGATAAGCCTGGCATTCGCAATCTTCAGGCGCTCGGAGTTCTCGGCTCGAATGCTCACGCTGTACTGGACGGCACAACTCCTGGGAGCGATTCTGGCAGGCATATCAGTACTGGTAATCTTCGCGCCGTTCATAGAGCGATTCGAGTCAGTCAACGGCATTGTCAGAGGAGAAGACGGAAGTCAGCGTTCGGCAATGATGTTCGGCGAATACTTCCCGAACCCTGACGTGTACGGCACTGGAGATGCGGCAGCAGGTCTGATATCTCCCGCAGGCGCGGCGTTCGTAGAGGGATTTGGCACGGCAATCCTGGCGCTAGTGATCTTCTCCCTAACAGACCGGCGGAACGCAGGACTATCAACAAAGAACATGACCCCCTTATTGATCGGTTTTACAGTGGCCGCGCTCATCAGTCTGTTTGCGCCGCTGACACAGGCGGGGTGGAATCCGGCCCGCGACTTAGGGCCGCGCATCGTCGCATTCTTTGCTGGATGGGGCAGTATCGCAATCCCAGGCCCATCCAACGGATTTTGGGTGTACATAGTGGGGCCAATGATCGGCGCGCCCGTGGGAGCCGCGATCCACGAGCTACTGATAAAGCCAGGCTTGCGTCGTGATATTGCCTCAACCAACGGAAGCGTAGGGGATGAGAATTCATGATTACTGCTCTCTTCGTATGCGTCCACAACGCCGGAAGAAGCCAGATGGCGGCCTCCATCTTCAATTGCCTGGCACAGCGCTTGGCGTGCCAGCATCGGCCTCTTCGGCGGGAACACAACCGGCAGAGCGAGTTCATCCGAATGTCGTTCAGATCTCTATGCTAGATGTCGAAGTGCGGGAGGTCAGGATAGTCATCCAGGGTCAGTTCCAAGATAACAAGATCCCTAAGGCTCCCGTGGATGTCCAGTACACGACCGTGTAGGACGGCTATCTCCTCGAACCCAGCCCCGCTAGCAGCTTGAATAGCGCTCTGCTGGTGATCAGATACGAGCTCAAAGACCAGCGTGCGGAGTTCGAGGTCCCGTCCCAGTTGAATCAGCTCGTGAATGAGGCGCACCCCTAGCCCACGGTTTCTGTACTCAGGATCTACGACTACTCTGATTTCGCCGACATGTCGCCGAGCTGCGCGTCGGCTGCGGTGCAAAGTGGCGTCAGCCAGTATGCGGTCCTCTACCGTAGCAACCAGCGGGATGGTCTGTTCCAAGTCTATGCGGTCGGTGAACTCGCCAATTACCTCTGGAGCGGCTACATCACTGTTAAGGTAGAACCTGTCATCTTTTGGTACGCGCAGAAAAAAGCTCAGTAACTCAGCCTTATCACTTGGTTGCAAGAGCCTGATTGTGACCTCTTCGCCATCGTAGAGAGCGGCAGTGCAGGGAAATCTCCTCAGGAAGGCGGGTGTGGTCATTCCAAAGCTCCTTCGGATGCTTGAACGCTGAACCTGTCTGGTCGGAATCCGGATACCGGAAGATCTGTGTGACCGTCTGTTATCAGGTCAGCGATGGACTTCCCGATACCGGGGCTGAGCAAGATGCCCTTCTTGCCTGCCCCTGTTGCCAGCAGGGCATTGTCCCAGCCTGGGGCGTGTCCCAAAATGGGCATCCAGTCGGGAGATAGCGGTCTGAGACACGCCGTATGGAGCACAACTTCGGCTTCAGCCATCGCGGGCATCAGTCGCAGCGCACGCTTCATCAGTGTGGTCCGCGCGTGTTCGGAAGGATCGAGGTCGAAGCCCTTATTCTCCTCGGTCGCGCCGACCCAAACTTGTCCGCTCTCTCGGTGGTTGAGAGAAACTCCAGCACTCTGGAAGTCGGCCGAGAGCGGACCGCTGGGAAGAGTCGTTCTGAGTATCTCACCCTTGTACGGCTCAACTGGGACACTCACACCAAGCCAATCACCGACCTGGGCCGACCAAGGGCCATTCGCGAATACGGCGGCTCCACAAGCAATACTGCCTTCCGAGGTCTCTACAGAGATTACGCGGGCTCCACTGGAGGTTATGCCCGTGACGTCGGCGTTGATGACGGAGGCACCAAGAGTTTCGGCGGCTCCGGCAAGAGCTTGGGTGTACCGTTCGCTGCTGAGAATGGCGTTGCCCCGCGTATCCAGGGCCCAGATAGCCTCCCGGCAATGCGTGGTTCCAGTTCTCGGAGCTGCTGTGAATCGAGCCATTCGGCGCTGAAGTCGGAGTCCGCATGGTCGAAAGTCTGCTTGGTTTCTCGCATCTCGTCGAGCGCGAATGCGTCGAATGCAACGCGCACCGACGAGATTATCTCGGGTTGGAAGTCGATTCGAGTGCGCTCTATCAGATCATCCCATATGCTCAGGTGCATCCTGTGGGATGTTATGGCAAGAGGACCCTAGCGACCCCGGTATGCCTGCACCTTCGAGTGGATTGAGCCCCCCCGCGGAGTACCCAGAGGCAAAGGCGCCAATCCCTTCTCGCTCGACGATGGTGGACGACACGCCGGCGACTCCGAGGAAGTAGGCCACAGCGCACCCTGCTGCTCCCCCACCAACTATCACTACTTCGGTCGAGTTGGAAGTCATGGCTCATCCTCCGATTAGTAACTTAATCATACACTGAGGGCCAGTGGATGCCACGCCCCCGGGTTAGCGGATGACTGGCCCCCGGCGTGCCTTCTTCACAGGTCGGCGGGCACTGAAGATGAGCACGGCAGCGATGGCATAGGCCCCAAGGGCGTAGTACCAGATGACCGAGTACCCATCAGTTGCCCGGTACAGCAGTGCGCCAAAGGTCGGACCGAGGCCGAGGAATACCATCTGAAACGGCCCCACAAGGCCGGTGATTGTGCCATAAGACGCCCGCCCGAAATACAGAGCAAGCATCATACTTCCGAGTACATCCCAGCCCGCCGGACGCAATGCCCCATACGATTGCCACAACGAATCCGCCAGCGCCTCCGGCGGTCGGGATGAAGAAGGCAGCGGTGACCAGTGTGACGACCGTGGCCATCGTGGCAAGCAGGAGGGGCTGGTATCTGTCGGCGAGAATGCCCCAAACCGGGATTGACGAGAGCGCCGAGCAGCGAGCTGAGACTGGCGCGATGACCGCGACGGGCTGGGACATGCCGGAGTCCACTAGGAACGGCACTATCTGAAAGCCACGGTCCCAGAAGTCAGAATGGTAAGCATTTCGGCGGACACGATGAACCAGAAGGCGGAAGTCGCCAGCGCTTCCCCTGCAGTCCAGCTGGACTCCGCTGATAACGGGGCCGAGGGCATTCCACGCCGAGCCGCAGATGTCATTCGCCGGGCAGCCAAACTCTCGTCCTCGCCGTCGGGCCTTAGGCCGATATCCTCCGGTCTCCTGCGCATTATCAGGAATAGGGGCACAACCAACAGTATCGAAAAGGCCCCGAGCAGCCGGTAAGCGACGCGCCAACTGGATGCCGCGGCAATGATCGAGATGATCTGGATGTTGATCGCCCCGCTGATGGGTCTGAAAGTTGAAACCAGTCCGATCGCGAGGTTTCGTTTGCGGCTGAAGAAGTTGACGGCGACAGTCCTGGGTACGACTCCAACGAGGGCCGGGTTGGCGATGGCTCTGCCCACAGCGTATGCGACATAGAAGTGCCAGACCTCGCGAATGCCCCCAAGTGCTATGAACGAGGCTCCGGCGATCAATGCCGCTGGCGGCATTAGGCGCCTGGGTCCGTGGTCGTCCACCAAGCGGCCAAAGACCGGCGCGAGAAAGCCTGACATCCAGGTCCCTGCTGTAACCGCAAAAGCTATCGTCGAACGGTCCCATCCGAGGTCCTCGAAAATCAGGTTCTGGATGCCCCCTATAACCACCTGTGCGACCCCGGTGGCGGCATAGGTGCCAAGCGATGCCATAGCCAGTACGACCCATCCATAGAAGATGGGCGTGCGTGGTGTCCAATCAATGATTCTCAGGATCGTACGCAAGTAGTCTGACCGTTGAAGAGGTTGTGGGGCTGGGGTACAATACCTTCTACTTTACAATGTGGCAAGGGATTGTCGCGATCCCTGTAGCACGTCGCCTGAAATAGGCGGAGCCAAGTACAGATCAAAGGGGGCCGACGAATGTCCGACAGTGATCTCGCTCTGATCTCCCACCTGATGCGCCGGGCCGGATTCGGCGCCACCAGGGCCGAGCTTGAGGAGCTATCTACCAGACCGTATGAAGACGTGGTCGAGGACCTGCTTCATCCTGAGCAAGTCGAGGATTTGGATGAAGATGCGTTGAAGCGCTACAACATGGAGTTGTCGTACAACGATGCGGTCCAGTTGTGGGCGGGTCGATGGGTGTGGCGGATGATAAACTCCAGCCGACCGCTGGAGGAGAAGATGGCCCTGTTCTGGCACCACGTCTTTGCGACGGCTTGGTACAAGAGCGAGCACAGCCCGTCTATCATCGGCCAAATCGACATGTTCCGTGAAGTCGGCATGACAGACCTGCAAACGATTCTGCTGCAACTTGCGCGAGACCCCGCGATGAACTACTGGCTGGACAACTGTGAGAATCACGCCGACCAGCCGAACGAGAACTGGGGCCGCGAACTACTGGAACTCTTCAGCATGGGTGTCGGGAACTATACGGAGGACGACATCAAGAACGCGGCGCGCGCGTTTACAGGCTGGTCGTTCACGCAGCCGATTCCGCTCTACCCGCATGGCAATAACCCGTCTGAGTTCCAGTTCCTCCCGGAAGACCACGACGGGAGCGAGAAGACGTTCCTGGGTCATACCGGCAACCTGAACGGTGAGGACATCATAGACATAGTGGTGCAGCAGGAGCCGACGTTCAGGTTCATCGCGCGGCACCTGTACAACTTCTTCGTGGCCGATGAGCCACAGGTTCCCGCCTGGAACATAGAGCCTCCGAACGACCCGGATGCGATTCGACATGCAGGTGAGTGCGTTCGAGGAGAACGACGGGCAGATCAGGCCGGTGCTCAGGGCACTCTTCAACTCCGACTCCTTCAAGCAGGCGCAGTTCCAGAAGGTGAAGAACCCAGCGGAACTAGTTGCAGGGACGATCAAGCTCGTCGGCAACTACGACGTGGTTCCCGCGCCGGGCCAGTCCGTCGGGGCTTTAAGCGGGGCGACAGCGGTCATGGGCCAAATGCTCCTTAATCCACCGACGGTCGAGGGCTGGCACACAGGCCACGAGTGGATTGACGGCGGGACGCTGAACGAGCGCGTCAACTTCGCGGTAACCAGTTCAACGACACGTCCACGCCCGGTGTGCAGGACATCATATCCAGGCTCGCACAGGACGATACGCTCGCGCTGACGAGCTGGTCAATAGGTGTCTCGACCTGATCGGGCCGCTGGAGGTGGGCGACGACACGCGTACGGCGCTCGCGGCGTACGCGGACAGCGTCGGCGATATTGACCTGAGCAGCGACCAAGCGCGGACGGACAACGCAGGTAAAGTGGCGCGGATGCTTCAATTGATCGTGGCGTCGCGCGAGTATCAGTTCGCTTAGAACCGACGTCCTTCAAGGAGGAACAGAGTATGGCAGGCAACGGCAATAGTAAGGCCCCTGTCTTCGTCGTCGTCCAGTTGACCGGCGGCAATGACTTCATGAACACGCTGATCCCGTACACGAGCCCGGTGTACTATGACAACCGGCCGCTGGTGAGTATCCCACAGGACCAGGTGCTGCCGA